GGCAGAAACAGTCAGGTTTTTAGTGGGTGTAGGGGCTACCCACCTTCTGGTAGGAAGAACCCCACATAACCCACTAGCTGCCCCCGCAGCTGGTGGGTATGAAATGTTATGCATTTTCCGGATAAAAAAAAATAGTAAACAGGAAAAGTTTGTTTTAAATAGAACCGATTTGAAAAAATCTCTCACCATTAAAATTCATTTTTTTTTCTGCTGAACATAGGCTGTATAAAATATTCTCAAAATAGTAAAAAACCTTTGATAATTTACTATTTGATAAAGAATTTACGTATTTATTATTGATTAGGACTAATGTATACCATTATTTATAATTATAGAGTCGGTGTTGGAAGATTTGAAGATTTTATAGTTTCTTTGGGCTGTCACTTGACAGCCTGGCACACTTTTACGATGGTGGATCAAAGTATTTTGGTTTGACTATAGAGCGTGAGAACACGCACACAGTCATAATTATTTTAGTGTGAATAAAACTAGCATCGAAATTACCTAAACTTGACATGCCACGCTAGACGTAAACGCTCTTAAGATGCTAGTATTATTCGGAGTCCCAAAGTAATGAAGTGTTAAATACAAAAATAATTGATAAAATCAATGCTAATCAACTTCGTATGGAGCTCTAAATACAATCACTGCCTTACAGTACGACTACTCCAAGAAAAAACAATATAATAGTACCTACGACAAAAACACTATTGGTCAATACTAAACATATTAGTAGCAATCAACAATCATAGATGTAGGTGATCAAATTTATTTTGAAATTAATTTAACGTAACATATTAGTGTTGTTGTTGCAATTGCAAGTTTAACTTAGTAAGTACTTAGGTATTACCATTAGACATTCAATAAACACGGTAGATTGACCCACTATCTCTTCGACATAACGAAAAACAAATAGCGTATGAGGGTTACAACATAAGTAGTTCTCCTTTTACTTTTAGAGATGATCCTGCAGTGAATGGTGATTGGCGATCTTATAACTCTATCTTGGGCATGTTGAAATTAGAAGTAAACACTCTAATGATGTTGCAGAGTGCAGATGCAACATTCACTATTCGTAAAGGTTACTAAGTCAATCAATAGGTATTTCGTAATAAAGTATTTTTAGAATCGCACCGGAAACTTTGCTTGGGTCTTCAAACTTATGTCGAACGATCTGAATGTCGAAAGTCATACAAATTTAGCAGTATAAGTTTATCTTCAGTACCCAGTTTAATTATATTAACATTTATGTACCAAAAATTACCTTTTTTAGGTAATTTTTTCAGTTTTCTCAAACACTAGCGTCGTTTTCTCGCTGAAAATCATATAAAAAGTTTGTTTGACGTTTCATGGCCATTAACATCCCATATTTGAGCATAACGAACGATAAATGACGTAATGCCTGGGTTCTGGGCCTTATTCCAGACTTGTGGATTTGAATCGCAATGAAACTATATTAATGACTTGGGAGTAATTCTCTTTTTGGATTCCACCATTGTAATTTCTGCATAGCAAGGATCTACAGCTTGTGGGCTAAAGTGGGTCATGAGTGGTATTTCCTCATCGGTAGTTTCCCTGTCCACCATCGACCACAGTGTAAATTTTACTGCGTCTCTCATTGTTTCTTGTGGTCAGTGCGTTTATTTATAATTTTAATAATTATGGTAGGTTTTAAAAGTACCTACATCCGTATAGCATATTTTATCCTCTATCAATATTTGGCTTGTTCCTAAAAGTCAGGCTCACAGTTCTATTGTTTTCAAAAAATGTAAGTTCATAATTTGATTACCAACAGGTCTACGAGATCCACGACATTAAAAATAAAAAAGTATTTTCTTAGTAAATTTTCGTGGACCTTTGGGAATAAGCCCAATATTTTTGAGACGAACCTTTAATCAATGAAGGTAGCTAATGTACTATAAATAACTATAATTTTATCGTCTTCATTGAGGAAATTGAAATCGTAATTCAAGAAATCCAAATTCTTTTAATTTATACTTTATTTATTTATATTAGGAAGACCATTATTTATTACATAACACAAACTCTAGCTCGATTTCTAAGTCAACCGTGATCATCCTACTTCCGCCTGCATCGTTAGTGTCTAGGTTTTTGTGGCTCGTGTCTACCCTCATTATAATAATTTCTTGAAAGTGCTACGTGATTAAGGCTTTAAGGCTAAACATAAAATATAAAATTGTATTTCTCATAATATTCCGATATTAAAACGGTAACTTTACGTAACGATAAGTCGATATTTTATTCATAAATCAGTGATGTAACTGAACCATTTTAGTAATTTCGTTTAGCTTAATTAATTTTATAGATTACATCATGAATTATCATAATTTAAAATAAGGCATGTAACTGGTTGGTAAAAACTAAAACGTGAGACAGAACATGCTTCTGTCTGTTTTCCGGGAGTTGTGTAAACCATTGAAATTTTTATTTTTATTAAATTTTATTTGGGTTTTCTCTAGAAGCAAGTGTGTTCGCTAGAAATATACTTCTTCTAAGAAGTATTTTTCTAGCGAACACACTTGCTTAGAAGTATTATAACTGTACCTCTAGTACGAAAAACTTTCGAGTTCGTTTCGTTTGCGTATTCAAAGTGTCATCGAAAAATTTTGTATGAAAAATTAAACAGCGCCCCCTATATTATAGCCGCCCTAGGGGGCGCTGTTTAATTTTTCATACAAAATTTTTCGATGACACTTTGAATACGCAAACGAAACGAACTCGAAAGTTTTTCGTACTAGAGGTACTGGTATTTGTTTTACTGATATTCAATCGATTATACACCAAGTGCAAATAATTAAAGGCACTCCTTTCAACTGCAAGATTGTAGAGTTTAACTTTATGTGTGTCGTTTGTACAGTCAAAGGCAAATATTTATGTACTTGGTGACACCCAAAGCACGGTAATACTACCGTGCCCAAAGTGACCAAAAAAAGTTGACAATACGAATTGTAACAAAGACGTGTTGCGAACTTTTTGGCAACTATTTGACGCTGACTTTACAACAGAGTAACTAATATTCATTACTTTATTGCTTTTGAACTAGGTTTTTCTCTTAGCGTTTGTGACCTTAGCTTCCAAACCCCCTTAAATCCTAGATTTTTCACAAATCTTTTTTTTCAGCGCGATTCAAATTTTTGGTGGGTATTTAATACGTGTATATTTTTAAATATTTTTTTTAAACTCACATGATTTTACTGACAAGTATTCATTCATGTTCATAGTTTATAGGTTAGTATGCGCTTGCGACTATGTATGTTACCACACCAAGACCGCATCTGACGGTTCGTCGTTGAAAAGCTTATGGTGGATGAGGAAATGAGGCCCATCGAATTGGTGATCGATTGGCACGGAAATCTGGTATGTCTATTGCCAATTAAATGATGTGTAGAGACATAAATGTAGGTATTTTTCTCTAGTTTTTTTTCTTGGATCTCTTTCTTCTTGGAATTTTTTTTTCATAGTTGAAGTACCAAAGATTCATGAAGTATTTAGATGGTTAATGTTGAATTTTATAAAATTAACATTTATTTTATTTTTTATTTAGTCTTTAAATAAAACAATTTGATATTTTAAACTAGATATCGTACGCTAACCTAGTCCCAAACTAAGCTGGCTTTTAAAACATTGCCTTACCTTTTCGTACGTCAGGAATATCAAAAGCGCTTAATACCTAATTAATATTGCTAAAATGATGTTTTACGTTATACCAACGAATTGATGGTGTTTTTTGCCTTGGTGTTCAAGCATAGTCCTCGCCATAACGTGCTAATTGAAGGAAACGACGGTAAACATAGAGTCGGGTGTACCGATACTGAAATGTCTGCTTTAATTAGAGTCTCAGGCCAGTAATCAAAAGGCTTCTATTTGTAACGATTTAGCTCTGTTTACATCGCGTATGGACAGCTTAATTTGATATTGCAATATACTCGGCAATCTGTTGTTAACATTCTTTTAGAAATGAAAATCCTTTCAAAGATATGGATGTAGATATATGGAAGGCTTTGCTCTAACATCAGACAGAACAACTTCCATTTTGGATACCATAATTGCAATTATTATTTAAGAGATAATTATATAAATAGTAATCCGCATATCCGCACCTACAAGGTGGACCGACGACATCGTAAAGGTAGCAGGGAAGCGCTGGACGCAGGCCCCTACTAATCGATCAATATGGAAAGCATTGGGGGAGGCCTATGTTCAGCAGTGGACGTCCTATGGCTGAAATGATGAATCCGCATATCTTTTTGCTACATTTAGATACAATAGGTAGAGTCAGAGATATGTTATTCATCCAATTATATACACCCTGGCAAACAGCATAGTTTTAAATAAAATCCTTATTTAGAATTTTTAATTCGTTAAAGTAACCATTTGTGTACCCGCATTGAAATTTTAGGTATGTCAAAATGTCACCGAAATGATAGTTTTCAAAAGTCATAAACTTAAAAAATTTAAGGACTCGTCATTTCACGATAACAATTTAACAATCGTGTGAGCTTCACTCATGGCATTGCCATAAGTTCACACCTTTTTCTACCCCCATTGTTTGCAATAAGTGAAAACGATTTTTCATAATTGCGTTTTTATGACGAAAACGTATCATTATGTTGCATGATAAATGTTTATTATAGAATAGACTGAAGAAAATTCACATAACTGACGTGAGTTCACTTTCTATATTTTACGTTTTTACTATCAATATAAACTGACAAACTATCAATTATGCTCGCTTTACATGCGATCTTAGCATTATTTAGATGCACTTAGGTTTTTTAAACTATTTTAGGTATTTTTGGTATGTTCATTGTAAATAATAAGTTTCGCTAGGTATTTTTAGCTAAGTGATTACGCTAAATCAATCGTAAATAATCTAGCTCTAAAACTCAATACATATTTTCACTTCTACCAAGACAGCGTCAGGTGAAAACATGTGAGAGCTAAACGAATAGATAGTAAATTATGAGTACTATACAAACCTTAATATTACGTATGCTCGTCATCCTTTATTTGTCGGGGAAAGTCACTTAGCACCTACCACACTACAGTCACCACACTTCACTTGAGTACGAAAGAGACAACACAATATCCCAGATGACTGCACTGAGTATTCCTGTTTTGTAATTTTATGTTTTTTAACCGCCAAAATGGGTTGTCAAATTTGAATTTGGAACGTTTGTTCGCACGTGCTGCGCGTGCGACGGCCGCGTAGTCGCTGTCACTCTCACCAACCGGCGGCTGTTGACTTTTCTTTTTATTTTAACGGCGATCCCCGCTCCGGTGATTGTGTATTATCGCATAACGTCGACGTTATCACAACATTTGGGACTTGGCTTAGTTTAAGTAATAATTAATTGCTGTAGTGATTGCATTCTAAATATAGTTTGGTGGACAATTATAGCTAAACACTTCCATATAGATGCCTTTCTTTCTAATAATAGAGATTAAAGCGAATTAGCGAAGAAATAAACTCCGGAAACAAATTACAGGTTGATTCTGATTTGAATCAAAAAGTATCTTGTGTCTGATTAAATTTATAATTCGTAAACATCTGCTTAAATCACCCTAGTTGTCTGTTCTAATTTGGTAAAGGTAGCATTTGGCATGTAACATAATTTTATAAGTTTCTGACTAACTCTACGTCTCAAAGCTTTTTAAGCTTTAAGTTATGTAGATAACTTTATTGTACGCCACACAAAACAAGAAATACACAAAAGAGGTGGCACATTAGGAGGTCTCGTCGCTGTGAAGCGATATCTTCCAGACAACTCTAGAGGACCGTTGATAGTCAGTTGATAATGTTTCTCTGGTATGGCACGATAAAATTATGCATTGGCCGACTCGCACCGCAGTGCGAATAGGCCGTGGTGTGTAATGCCCCATCCCTTCATTTTAAATAATAACATGCTTGTTAGTAGGAAGTAAATCGTAATTTTAAGACTAATATAATTATGAAATGTAATTTGTTGCTCATATAAATTTTATTATAATCAAATCCATTACTGAAATATCCTTATTAATTTCAGTAATAATTGCAATTGCTCTTGTGCTACTTACCGTGCTTATAATTCGCATATTATCTACAAACTTAGTTAGATTATACATTTAAAAATGTTTTCTATGAAACCCATTCAAAAATGTTAATATACCTACCTACACTGTAATTAAGTTACTTCACTGCTGTAATCCACTGTCACTTTCGTATACTTAGACAATATTATAGATACCATAAGTAAAAATATTTGAAGTGGGTAAGAAACAATTTGCATAAAAAATGTCCTGACATCTGATGTTACGTATTATTTACGTAAGTACAGAAAAATTAATATTCATTATAACAAAACTGTATAACAATGAACCCGATTAAGTAAAAACCTAAGTTGTTTAGGTCTTGACACAAGGATTTCAGCAGTCTCTGACAAAGTCTCATACGTCGTCATTTAGTAGGTATAGTTAGCACAAGTCAAAGATACAAAACAGAACAAGTTAGGTAAAAGAATTTAGATAGGTAGCTGGAAACATTTAATTTTCGGATACATCCAATTTATTTTGTAACCTATTATTGATACCGTTCGATAGAGCTCATGAAACACTTTCAGGATCAGTAATCAGTATTTGGATATCTTGTATAGTTTAGATATAATCGAGTGAGATCACTTATCGTTTCCACCCTGTATAGTATTAAATTGTATATAAAACCGTACGACGTTTTAGTTAGAACAAACTGACTTACCTTATTAAATTACATAATTATTCATGTGCACAGCTATACAAAATATTCATCTAAGTATGATTACCATAACTTTTCTTTCTTTCAACATTCTTCTCCAAATGTTCACCTATTGCATCAATATAACGTATCTTTTTACCTTTTGTAGAGTCTAAAACTGGATTTAATTACTGCAATGTAACTAAAATAAAACATGAACGGAATATCCAAAGCGGGCCACGTTCACTCACAAATCTTGTAAACTGTAAGGCTAAGTTCACTCTATAAACCTGTAAGTTTTTTTTACTAAGTATAATTTAATTAAGGATTTGCACAACGACCGGTCCCTTCTTTCTTGCTTTCCGCATGAGGTACTTCTCGTAACCTTTATCAGATCATTAGTTCACCAAGCAGGAGAGCTTTTGATAGAAAAAATGATTACATGAAAATTATAATCCTTTTTAAAGTCAAAGTCAAAGTTTCTTTATTTGTTTAGACCTAATAAATAGTTCTTACAAATCGTCATCTTGCTCTTAGGGAGCCTCTACATGTCTCATAATCTTTTTACCCTACCAGCGCTTCGAGACCAACATTTGGCAAGTGCTGAGAAGAAGCGCCGCAACAAACTCAGTCACCACTGTCTGCCGGTTAATATAAATAAATAGAAATAGCAGTAGTAGGTACATTCGATTCAGGAGCAGTTCACTGATTTAATTTTTTAAATGTACATAAATCAGGCTTTCGGATCACTCTCGCCCGTGATAATTGAAATTATTTTTCCGCTTTTTAACACCTATTGTTATTTCGTTAACGTGAAGGATATCTTTAAATAATTTAAAACTGTTGATTTCACCATCTACAGTGTAACCAACGTAACGCAACCGCACAATGTAGTCGTAGCCTTAGAGTTACTTAACACTTGAAGAACATCCTCCTGCGAGTCCGCTACCGGCGCAAGAGTCGGTCGCTGTGACGTTGTGACGTTGATCGACTCGAAACTGGGACGACTTGAGGAAAATCCTGGGGTTTACCACACGAGAACGGGGATCTTTCTCGGGAATAGCTCGTTAGGGACTTTCTAACTGTTGCAATTTATCTAAAACAAACTGCAAAACTCTACATAGGTATTAGTCATTATATTCTAAATATTGCAAGCGTATTTTTTTACGCGGGTTATGATTTTGACAGGCTATGTATGTATGTATGTATGTATGTATGTTCATCTGTTCCCTCGTAAGTAACTTCTAAACTACTTATCAGAATTCGACAAATGATCGTATCATTAGAAGCGTCTTAATTGTCCGCTGGTTATAGGCTATATGGGGTTTCACAAAATCGAATGTGGCGCCCTCTAGCGGACAAAACATACAAAGTAAAAAAATAAAGTTAAGATAAATATGCCGTGTTTGGTATCATTTGAAAGCGCTTTACTTGTACCTTTCGAATATATATATATATACATATATTACTAGCATTTGCTTGTTACATATTATAACTAGAAAACAATTGGGTAATTTTGGCCTAAAATAGGTGCCATGGCTGGTTTTTGCCATTAGCTTCGCTCTCGTAGATTTAGACAAAGAGTAGTGGTTTATAAAAGCCGGTGAAGTCTATTTCTCCTTAGGTACCTAAGTAATGATGCAACAGTCACTTAATACTGGTCACTTTAAATAATAGTACAAGTTTTACAAAACAATAAAACTTGTATTATTGAGCAGAGACGATGCACAGCATCTGGTGAGAGATGCGTCTACTTCCGGTGTAGTTTTTCACCATTTTATACCTTAANCTATCCGGGGCCGTGGTGGATAATTTTCTACCAAAATGGTAGTTTTTTCCGATTCATGGCAACACTCGAATAACAGACGAACAATCGCCCGGAACATTGTACCCCACTCCGGTGTCGCCATCTACCGGAAAATTGCTACCAAAGTTTGGGAATTTTTTGATCGCAACAAAATGGCCGACGGCTCAGCCGCCATCTTGTTTTTTGATAATCTGTAAATGTGGCCTTGAAGCAGACTATATAAGTCACAAAAACTCAAAAGAAATTTTCAAAAACAATGGCGCATCTCGGAGTGACACCTCCCTAAAAACACCCCGAAATCGCATTTTCAATCCAAGATGGCGGCGCGGCCATTTTGTTTTTCCGTTTTTTTCTCACATTTTTTAACACACCTTGGCAACCCTAATAAACTCCCAAAAAGGAAAAAATTCAGGATGAAAAACAAAAAAGTTGCTGTTTCAAAAAGTGCCGCCATTTTGTTTTTTGGTTCAAAAAATCTAGTAAAGCTGGCAGTCGAAAAATCTAGTTTAAAACAAACAACAACAATTTTACCCCTCTCCCCTCTAAATACCCCAAAAATACCCCTGATCAGTCAGTGAGTCAGTCAGTGAGTGGTAATCGAGCTTTATATAATATAGATAGATTTAAACGAGACTTTCCCTTCTTTCCAGGAGCCGTGGAATCGCCACCAGCCTTGCAGCTGCCTTCAGCTACGTCATCTTTTTCTTATCTTCTAAAACTAATTACAATCTGGAATCTAATTTCCACCTCAGCGGTACATTTGCTATATACGCTAGTTTTGGTTTAATTGGGACCGTGTACCTTTACTTCTTCCTGCCCGAAACTGAATCGAGGACTTTGGCTGAAATAGAAGCATTTTACAAAGGCGATAGAAAAATATTCGCTGATGACTTTTTGATAAACTCGTTTAGAAAGAAGCGACAAGATAGTAGAGAGAGAGCGAATTTGTGCTAGTCAAATAGATAAGTTATTTTCTCTGATTATGTTGAGCCCCGATTTCTTAGCTATGTGAAAATTAATCATATTTCTTCTTTGTCATTGCATTGGATTTTTGTCTTCATAATGAGAAATTGGCGGTAGTGTATATTTGTTACCTGTTACCACTAGGCTATTTCCGAATAAAAGTACATAAAATAATAATTTATCAATTGTTTAATAGTAGAGAAGGGTATAATTTGATTTATTAGTTTTATTACTTAGTATTAATTCAGTTTTTAACCTGATAAATTGGACTGAGTATTGTTCCATTATACACTGCTTTTGATTGAAACAAGGTATAACACGCCTACCTCCTTTGTACAAATTTTAGTTTAATGTTAACCTTCACGATAGAAATAAATTGTTTAATCGTTACAATGCAATGTTTTTATTTTTACATTATAATAACCTATAGGTGTTTAAGTTAAAAGGATGCATCCGTCATAATTATCGTGCACTTAGCACAGTGGTCGGTGGATCGCGTGATGGTGCCAACAAAGAAAAATAAACATTTCTAAACTAGATCTAATGCTGAGAAAGGCCTCCGGCTAAATCTTTTCTACTCGTAAGAAAATAATAAAGATAAAATAAAACAGTTTACTTAATGTACATTATTTATTTTAATATCCTATAAAAGTCTCTGGTTTCGCCTTTAGCTGTAGTCATCCATGTAAAAGGTCTGCCACAAAACATTCCACCAGTACATTTCGCCTTTTGTTTGATTTTCTGGGGCTTGTCTAGTTTTAACTTTTCTATTGACCAACTTAGATAATCATTATCATCATTATTGAAATCTAGTTGCTTTGATTCTGGTAATATTTCGTACAAATCATGGATATTTTCACTTGTTGAGACAATTTGATTCGATGATAACGTACTATGCTCATTATCACATGGTAAAACTTCGAAATCTGGAAGAAAAGTTAAGAATTTATTAGTGTTTTTAGCAAACAAATAAATGTAAAGGATAAAGGAAAAGTTAAATGAAACTTACTATTGCTTGATATTTTAGTTTATTACAAAATATTACATTGCTTCTCAATGATGTCCGTGATATTTCTTACGTCTCATTGTCGTTTCCCATGTAACAGGGCGTTGACATCTCTTGGAGTTGCAGACTGTTGGGTACCACCAACTTTGGGACTGACTATACTTCATAGAGTTCGTTATTTTATGAGTCAAAATAATCTTGGAAGGGAAATCTTTCGCCTTAAGTGTAGTCTTTTTATTTATAACAGACATTGTCGTTTCACTTTCAACTGATGTGGTACTTTTTTTAACCTTTTCTTTTTTACTTGTAGTGCTTCTAGCTTCTTTACTTATAATTGGAATAACTTTTGGACTGGAATCGCTGATGTAAATGTTATCATCAGACAAGTATGAAGAATCGCTACTGATTGGCTTCTCTTCGTTCTTTGGAGAGGCAGTGGTGCTTATCACGTTAGTACTTGTATCCAAACTAGTAGTAATAAAATCATTTATATCTATATGATATTGTTTACAAGTCGTAGTGAGTGGTCTTGGAGTTGTACTAACACTCGATCGTTTAGAAGTCGCAGTGGGTCTACTTGGCGTTGTACTATCACTCGATTTGGGTATTGTATAAGTTTTTACTTCTCCTTCTGTTGTTGTTTCCCAGGTTTGAGGTCTGTCGCAACATTTAGAAGATTTGGTTGGGACTTCGCTCGTTTTATTTCGACACGACTCTGTAAAATTGTTAGTATGTTGTGTTACTTCTGTAGCTGCAATAGTTTCTGATACCACAGTAGATGGAAATGTATCTATTTCAAATACTGTGGACGAGGGAAGTTTTTTAGTAGAAGTTGTAGTGGGGGGATATGTACTCTTTATCGGTACAGTAGTCTTTGCAACAGTATTAGTTGTTTTTTGCGTTGAAGTCTCTGGTGAAATGAAAGTTTTATTTGTTATAGGCTCTTGTGTTGTAGTTTCTAGTTCTGTAGTTGTAACTATTTCTTCTTCAAAAGAATTATCTTCACTTTTATCCATTTCAATAGTATTTAAGTCTACACTTGGGAAAAACAATATAGTTTTGGCATTTTCTGTAGTAGTTTCCCATGTTTTAGGTCTATGACAACATACAGTATTGACTTGTTCTGTTTTTTTGGTAGAGTCAAGTGACACGATTGCAACTGGAAGAGCGCTAGTCAAATTCTTTGTAGTAGTTTCAGGAGATGTTTCAACAATGGTCTCTATTTGTGACGTTTCTTTTGTAATTAATGTTGTTGTAGTGGTTGGCAGTTCAGTAGTGGTCTTAAGAGTTGTAGATGACAGTTTTGTTGTGGTTGTGGATTCTGTCAAAATTATACCATTATGTGTACAAATGCTAACTTCTAGCTCAGGAATAGTAAGTAGGTGACAAATATCGAAGCCTTTGAGCGTGCCTCAAAAATCTTAATTCTATTAATCTTTATTTCATCTATTTTAGACTGTGAATGAATAATCCTTCTGCAAAAGTACTTTATTATCACCTTGTGAGTGATTACTCCACTGTGGTGGTTAAAAAGTTTTGTAACTTTACTGAACTTTATAAACTTGTTCATTATCATAACTACCTACTTCATTATTACCTTTCATAGTCGTGGCCTGAGGAAAACCGTTTTCATCATATTGTACTGAACATAAAAGTCTGTATGTTTCTTGATATCCTGAAAATTTGTTGGTGTTTGAAAAAAGACTAACAAGGTGGATACTGGAAGCATCATCAATAAACATTTTAATTTATATTCTTACCGGAAGGAGTCTAAGTTATCTAGTTTTCATATTATAATAATTATTACAGTTTTTAAAGGATCTTTGAGTCCATAGTCACTACGCTATCAAATCTCAAAAACATTTAACCATCAAATATTAAAATGAAAATTATCTTTTTCATTACTTCTATGTAATCTTCTTTTATCTCTATTATATTTAACTAGCGTCTTCGTTTAGGATTAATAAGGATTGGAGTAAAACTAGCATAAATTTTATACTTATTTATTTACAAATGTCAACACGCAAAATTAGTCACACCAGCGCACGTACTGGTGATTCTGGTCGTGAATTCTGAAAGAATACAATACCAGATTAAAATAATTGATAAAAACATGATTTTGTATTAATCTAGTTTTACTCCAATGTTATTTTAGTGAGATAACCTATTTTTTAACTTTGAATCAAGGTTAAAATACAGTTTAAAGGGAGATAACTTGGTAATCCACAAAAGTGCTATGTCAACATGACGTCGGTTTTATTTTAAGAAAAAATCTTTTTACTGCTTAAACTCGGTAAACTACTGCTAATCTTCGCAAAACATCTCATGGTTTACACTTTTAAGGAATGTAGATAATTTTCTTTAATTGTATCCAATGACACTCATAACATAAAATAATGCTTCTAGCAAGAAGGTATCATTTATTGATCTCTAGAGGTAGGTTTGCTCTAAGTTTGTCCATCTAGCTACCACCATCATCTTAACTAAGTACGTCACCATAACAACGTTAACAGTATTTTTGTGTTAAGGGATAAGGTGACCAGCACTCTCAGGATTCTAGGTAAAGGTCATATCCACCTTTAGCCTGATTATCACTTTCCATTAGGTGAGATGCATTTCAGCTTCTCCCTAGTGATTAAAATATTTCTGTGCTTAATCCCCTCCATTTGAAATGCCAACCCTAGACGGTAATTATGAATGATATTTTAATATTGTTTGTCATAACTATAACTCAGCTACATACATTGTTTTAAAATGTAGAATTAACCGTTTGAATATTTAACGAAGATTAGTATAATTAACGTAGATTAGATTAGACCCTATTTTATTTAGTCAATGACGCTTTAAACGGTATTTATCTTAATATACATTAATTAAGTAAATATAACCATACGAGGCTTAATAGAGAAGAAAACGAAAAAATAAACCACTTGTACTACCATCCTTGTCGAAAAGGATGCGAAATAACAAACGGGTTTCCCGTGGAAAACTAGGTCAAGACATAGTTATTTAATTTAAAATAGGTCAAGACATCTTGATATCCCCATTTAAAACAAAATATTTTTTATTATTAACAAATTGAGCGACAATAACACAATGTTTTTGGAGCCAGACGGACTATCAAATCTAAGGAACGCGGGTTCGAACCCCGTCGCCATGCCGCTGTCGTGAAACCCATTCGTAACTCATGCATATTATTTATTTAGCTTACCATGAGTGGTTAACGGGACTATTAAAATTGGTATAGTCTATACCTATTTATCTATTTTCATATTAATTGAACGTACGTGTGCCATAGTCGCAGTTGTACTCATACATATCGCATTGGTCAAGGAAGGTGCGGCGGCTGCATCCGTCCATGGTGGACGCACACACCATGCGGTTGTCGTGGATACACGTGGACGCCATGTTGCAGTACACTATGGGCTGGGAAAGGAGAACCGATTTTATTAATACGGGACTATTCCCACCTCTCGTTCCCACGGCTGCAACTCCTGTGTAGCCAGGATCTACAGCTTGACCGCCAATAAAAACCCAACCAGTGAAGGTCAAGTTTGGTATGAATCATCATAAGAAAGATGTCCACTGCTGGACAAAGGCCTCCCCCGAAGGATTCACCTAATCATCTTGCCACCAAGAAAGGCTGCATTATTGCGTTTCACGGTCCGTGAAAGTTTTTACATTTGATACCATGAAGCAATTGAAAGGGTCAAGCTGATGTAATCCACCGCTACTGATTTTCAAAAACGTACTAATAATATCCCAAGCTTTATGCGTTAAAATGGTCAGTCAAAAGTTTTGTATTGAAACAAGGATTAAATTAGTAAAAGCAGGATATAGCACATAAAGGAAAATCTTGCAAGCAACCACTTACATTAAAATCCAAATAGACTATTACTTATTACTTAAATCACTTAGGCTGAATTGCACCACCTTACTTTAACCGTAACTATAACGATAACCGGTGCTTTATGCATGGGGTTTGACAGATTTTTTACTTTTGTTAAAGTTAAAGTAAGATGGTGCAACCCAGCCAAATCAAATTATATGTATTTCAATTCTTACAACATAACACCTATAGCAGCTCCATAAGAACGTCAAAAAGAAAAAGAAATTAATTTGCGGTCATCCATACATAGAGAAAAGTAGCCCGTAGGTATAAATTACTAATGATAGTGTTACTACATAGTTAAACTCAAACGCACATTGTTGGACGATATCAGTTTAATAAATTGCTTTGTTGTGACATGATAAACAAAAGGACGACAGTAATTTTATTGGTTGTAGATATAGGTACTAAATAACACAATAATATAGATTTAGGGCAATGTCCTAACGGGATCTTATTAAATGGAACAGCTTACTTTGGGAGAAAGATTCCCCGACTCGTATGCTGCCCCAAGGGCGACCAGAGGGACCCGAGCCGACTGGTTTTTAGTGGGTAGACCTTACCTTTCAGGCGAGTAGAGCCCCACATAGTAACATAAACATCCTAAATAAATAAACATGTATAAAGTTCAAGCATTTTCGAGTCAAAAAAAAGGGAAGGGAAGAGATATTATAAAAAAAAGTCTGAATAGATACAAAATATCCCTTGATCCTTAAAAAAACAAGAAAAGGTAAAGAATAAGACTTTAATGTATGTATTTTGAGGTATTTTTTACTAAGTGCATGTTAAAACTTGGGCTAAGATAATAAAACAATTTAGATTATGAAAACTAATCACCGTCGTTATAGCTAGGTAATTAAATATTTGTATTGTTAAGAGTAAAAAGGACAAATAAACGTATGTTAAGTGCTATTTATTTGAATATTTGAATTCTTTAACTATCTTGACCCAGCTATGATTTGGTCGATTAATTAATGTGTTAATGATCTGTTTATGAGTTAAGTAATTAGTTAATAACGGTAAGTTTTTATCTTTCTGTTAATGATGCTGCGTAGATACATGTACTTACTCGGTAAAAAAATAACAGAAGAATAAATTAACAGAGAAGCAGAATTTTAAGGCTGGGTTGCACTTGCACCATCTTACTTTAACTTTGACAAACGTCTAAAATCTGTCAAACTCATACAAAAGACACTGGTTATCGTCATAGTTACAGTCAAAGTTAGGTGGTGTAACTCAGCCTAAGACAACTAGGTATCATATTCCCAAATCATACTAAAAACACTAAGATATTTTTATAAAATCCCATCCCTCTATGCTTGCGATTCCATCAAGTTTAGGCTCCGTTCTTTCATACGCACATAAATTAAGTCGTGTTCTACTTTTTTGTTAGTTTACCATTACGACAAAAAGCAAACGTTAGCAAACAAATGATGATAAAAAGTCTTTACGTATGTCAAATGGGCTTGAGTTTGATGAGCCGTCCACAGCGCTGGAAAAAATGACAGTGAAATATTATCTGCATAATAGATTTTATTCGTGGTACACATTTTTGTTTAACCGGTTGGTATAGGTAGGTACCGCTTTAGGAGTGATGTGTTTTAACGAACTCTTGTTTTTACTATTAAAGCACCTTTAACTGTGGCCGTAATATCCCAAAGACGCCATAAGAAATAACCACATTACCACTCTTTTGTATCGCACAGTCGGGTAAAAAAAGATAGTGTTGGTTAATACACATCACTCCGGGACTACTTATCAATCCATACAATCCATTGATGTCAAATTGTCAATCCACGAAAATGGTGTTTTGTGAAAAACTTTAAATCAATCTTTCACTTGACGCTTAATAATCGGAAAAAGGTTTCGATGGAAGAGTCGTGAAATAGGCACTCAATGTCACTGGCTTGTAAGTCAGTTTAAAATAAAGTTTTTAAAAATAAAAGTTCACAAAGAAATAAGTTTTCTTTAACTTTTAGAATGTGAATTTTCTTATTTTTAACGTTTTCCGTAACGCTTTTCTTGCTACCTACCACATTATCTGGAGTCATTTCTCCATGACTGACTGACCAATGGCGAGTGTCCAAACAAAAAATGTCATTGACTCGAATGCCGTAACCGTTACCGGAAAACATTTTTTGTTTTATTAATTCTATTACATCTTGTTTTTGAACGATTTGGTAAGGTCATAGTTTTAGAATTAAACGATTCACTTCCATACTTGGAACAATTTCTTCTAAAAGGCTGTTGTTAAATCAGCCGAGAGATCAGTACTATTGGTGGATAGCAAACAGCTTCTTCACCGCAATTTTGTAATGGAGTGCAGGTGCGGTATTTGTTCCCCAGTCGATTTAGCACATCATGTCGTGCCCTGAGTGCCCGAGCAACTGCACGAAGGAGGATTTAATTTATGCAGCTGACAACGCCACTCTTGTAGCGGAGTTTTGGGCTGACACTGTGTAGATTTGTTGTCGACACGATAAGAAGAAGACCGCAATTTTCTAGATTAACCTGACAGGGATTCAAACCTAGGACTCAAAGCAAATACTGTCGCCATCGAATCAAATAACTTAATATGACTTCTAATAAATAAATAAACACTGACTTACCAAGCAGAAGAAAAAGGAACATTGTAAATCAAACTACATCCCGCTACATTCTGCAGTTTTATGTGCTGCAATGAAAACCCATATATTTTCCATATCGCTTACGTTTTATATCTTATCGGCATTTTGAAATTATGGGTCTATTTGTTTTGACAAGGCTAGGATTGACCAACTTGACTGATACGCGTGCACTCACAAAATTCTCGTGATACAACCCAACCTTCAGACATAAGATTAAATTACGTTAGATAAATGAATGGAAATAATATAATTTGACGCGTGAAGTATTAGTTTTGATTGCCGTATAAAATACCTAAGTAAATAAACCAATAACAATCTCGAGTGGCGACCACGGGCTGGAAGACGTAGCGTGGGCAGGCCTCCTACTAGGTGGACCGACGATCTCGTAAAGGTCGCGGGAAGAGCCTGGATGCGGGCAGCGCAGGACCGTGCATTGTGGAAAACCTTGGAGGAGGCCTTTGTCCAGCCAGCAGTGGACGTCATTTGGCTGAAACAAACGAAATAAACCAGGTGTGAATTTAGGCCGCATTTACTCCCTTCAATGTTGGTTTTGGTTGGTGGTAGGTCGCAGGAGGTGCCTGGATGCGGGCGCCGCAGGGCCGGTCGTTTTGGAAATCCTTGGGTGAGGCCTTTGTCCAGCAGTGGACGTCATTTGGCTGAAACGAGGGCCTAAGTCTGTCGCATAACAAAAATGTTGACGGCATTGTTGTGTTCCGACAGTTAGAGGTGAGATAGCCAGTTCCTCTGTGGTTAAGGGTTCCGGGTGAAGCTTCAGCCTTATCGTTTTCCATCAGGTGAGATGCAGATCAAGACACATCAAGATCACGGAGCGATGAAAGAATACATTCCAGAAACTTGGAAACGATTTCATAATCGATCGTGTTTAAAAACGTGCATTATTGCGCAGCCTTTTGAGAAATATCGAACTCGAGTATCTCCCCGAAGGGAGGAAAGGAGATGGCAAAATAAGGGCGTTCGCGGAAGACCAGCTTCTTGGCATGCACTTATTTATTTATTTAAGGACAACCAACAAAACATACACCATACATTCACAGTTTCCTTATAAATAAATTAAGCTAAGGTGTGTACGAGGTTAAGATAAATGCTGAGCTAAATACTTTTTCTTGTTAACTATGTTGTTTTTTGTCTATAAATTGTGTTGTGTTCAATAAAGTCTTATTATTCTATTTCGGAATTAAAAAGTCAAGGATGTTAAATACATTGCCTATATCCTGCTCCAATAATAGAAACTGGCGTTTAAGCTATTCTATTGACAACTGGCGCTCTATTACGTAATAGTGTGTACAACTAACAAATTACCTAACATACTAAATTTACATAACAATAAACTCGTTATATACCGCATACGTACGACTAGGTATACTCTACGTTTAGTTTCGGGCGGGAATGTTCTTGATATTTTGTGGCACGTTTCAATTGTTAGTGATGTTCTTGCTTGACACAAAATTTCATTATTTCAGCCAATGGACAGTTCATACCTTTCTGGATACATTTAAGCCTCCCCAAAAATCTTCCTGTTTTTTATTGTAACCTGTGCAAAATTTGTTTTTGTCAGACTATAGAGCTTTGCTTTTTAAAAAATAAAGCCTAGTTATGTAAAGTAGACTGCATCTTATTTAACACCAGGTGCAATTGCGATCAAATACCAGCCTTGTTATGCATAAAAAACATAAGTAGTATACATTTCATATTATTTGTACAAATGTTAATTATAACTATGCACTTTAAAATGCAGTACCTAATACCTAAATAAGTGTGAAGTTCACACTTATTTAGGTAAGAAATAAAATATTTCTTAAAATTTTCAAAAATCAGTTTGTATCAGTCCATTTCCGGGATTGGTGTAGGTAGTTGACCGACAAAATATTCTGAGCGGGTGACCTTTTTCATACCTACATAACGAACTTTCATTTATTTACTATAGTTAACCTATAACTGTTTTAGTAAGGGCGTCGGTTTTATATGGAATCATCTTTACGCAAGTAAGCATTCTCTCAACTCGCTCAACTCGAATTTTTAGATAAAATTTTTAAACACTTGACTATACAAAGGGGTGACTTTCGAGTGCAAAGTAAATACGTTAGTGATAATAGCATTCGTTAGCTGCGCGTGCGCATACTTCCGATTTGCTGCCTTCAAAGTTTTCGTATCAGTCGCCAAACCACGGTGCACGGAGCAAACGCGTCCGCGTTAATTTAAAATTTGAATTTCGATCATTTAAATGTCATAAACATTACGATAGTTATGTGCCAGTATTTTATAAGTTTTTAATTTACATTTTAATCTGTGATTAATTTAATTATGACCGAGTAAAATTATTACTCGTAATATAGCGTGTGTTTGTAAAATAAAATTTTAATAAATAACAAAAATGGTGGTGAAAATGCAAATGGGGGCACCAGCTCCCCAGACTGTAAGCCGTTTCAGATCCGTTTCATCACAGGTACGTTATAAATAATGATACTTACATATTTTTTAAACCTGATCAAAATTATTACCAGGATTACCTTAAAAATGTTGAAAGCCTGACGTCTGAATTGGGTAATTTCTTTACCTATGCTACAGGTAGGTTAAAGGTCATCCCATCATCAGCACAGAATTGGGTATTACCTGCTTATTGTCCAAGAAACACTATTGTACATTTGAGTACCTAACTAAATTTCAATCTGTATCTTATGAATTTCTTCGTCAGTTAAACACGGGAAGTCCACTGCTATCGGTATACTATAAGCATCCCTAACCAGATTTCCAGATTGGTCAGTCAGTACCGGCCTGCGTCAGCATAGATGGTCAGATGATCGTAAAATAAAAAAAGAAGTTACTGTTTAATTCAAGCCATTTTTACGATTCTCCTCATTTTAAAATCATGCACTTGAGGTAACAGTTTAGACGTACTTCAATGTGTTAAAAAAACACAAAATGCGTCTAAGCACAATAAACAAAAACGTGACCAATTTCTAATCCACCTGACGATAAAATTCATCGTAGACAAAATATCTAATAAAAGTAGGCCTGTAGTCACGAATTTCTACACATTTGCATACTTTATGCTATTTAACAGTCTTTGGAAGTTATCAGAATGCGCTGCTCACACAAAATACTCAGCAATTTACAAGTATTAGGTAATAATTACTTTTAACGTTATCACCATTCGGCAAACCAAAAATTTTAACTTTAGGCAGGTCTTTAGAACTAGAAGCTAAGTTTTGTCATAGAAAAAAACATAATAATGATAATATTGGCGCATCTATTTATCCTACATTTTCTTTGATTAATCCTAAATACCTGCTCGTATGTCTTATAAATATCTTTATGCTCATTACTTTAATTTCCAACAGTGCTTAAAGTATAAAGTTCATGATATAAATTAGTTTTTACAAAAATTGTATGAAACACCTTTTTATTTTTAGAACTTACCTAAGACTAGACAAGAACTAGACAAAAATGTCTTTCTCTAACAGGATGTTGTTAAATTACAACAACAACAGATAATTAAAAAAAACCCAAGGATGCTGGAAAACATTGCAATTGGCATTCAAATACGAAAATCATTTCTTTTTCCTAAATTAGCATAGTACTTGTATTAAGTATTCAAAATGCATGTCGACTGTATTCTATTACGGTTTGAAACACAATTGTTTAAAACAAAAAGGCACTGTTCCAAATTTTCCTCGGTAGGTATAATGGTGTCTTCAATCATTAAAACATCTTTAAGTGGAACATTTTTCACGAAACACATTTGAAGTAATTAAAAACGTATTTTGGAAGCATTAGAATTCTTAGGTATAAAATAATGGCGACCTTAAATTAAGGTTTAGGTCCAGTGCCATCTTATGTACCTACTTATTTATAAGATCGAAGGTGCAAGTAACTGCTGATGAAACTGGGGTCCGTGGCTGAGTCCCCCAGTTTTCGACGCACCCGTGGTCGACGCCCCCGGTCAGTTAAATTCGATTTGAAGCAATTTTTAATCAAATGTACAGTCAGGCACAAAAATGTTTATAAACGAATAAATATTTATTAGGCCAGTAGAATTAAACACAAAAATGAATCTAATGAAATGAAAAGAATTCCTACAAAAGTTTTTTGTTTCTTACTACTGCTGGTTTTGGGTTAAAATTTTGCTCCCAGATTGCATAAATAGCGTCAAACATGCATAGTTTAGTATAATAATTAGCTTGTGAAACTTTTTTCGTTGACTGTACTTAGTGCAAAAGCCGAAAAAAATATGATATTAAATTTATTTAAATCGGGGGCGTCCACCACGGGTGCGTCAAATACTGGGGGACTCGGCCACGGACCCGATTTTGAGACATACGTCAATTGATAAATAGGAAATCTGATTAGCACTTAAACCTGTTTGCCTTATTGTAAGTCATCTATCAAATCAACTCTGGAGGTCTTGACCTTTAAATAATCATAATAAAACCGGAATTTGCTATTTGGTTATTAGCGAAAACCATACATACGAGGGGCGGCTGAAAAGTTTTGAGCCTAAGTATCTTCAAGTGTTATTATTGACTCGCACTAAATTTAATTAATTTGCCAATAGCCTCCTTAGTATATGTACAAAGTTTCATTTCATTAGCGTCATCACGCTTTTAGTAATTAATCCGTAAACATCATCATGTCTCAGTCATCCGCGCAATGTACGAAATTGAAGTACACAGTTGTCATCAAATTCCTCAAAAAGAGGAACAAAACGCTGATGGTAACATTTGAAGAGATGTCGACAGTTTATGGGGAATCTGGGCCTTCATTTGCCACCATGAAAGATTGGATCCGATAATTCAAGCATGGCAGGGAGTCGCTAAAAGATGACCGCAAGTCAGGGCGGCCAGATTTCGCCATTAACGAATAAAATAATGAAAAAATAAAGAATCTTGCTTTAGAGATCAGCGAATTAAGCTGTGACGGATAGCTGAAGCTATAGGCATTAGCAAGGAACGTATAGGCGATATTTTTCATACTCATTTGCACATGAAAATGGGGTGTGCGCAATGAGTGCCAAAAATGCTCACGCCGTTCGACAACCAGCGTCGAGTCACAACTTCGCAGGAGTTTTTGGACATCTTTGGCCATAATCCTATCAGTTTTTTTTCTCACATTGTCACTATTGATAAATAATAGATCCGGCAGTACGATCTAGAGTCAAAATAAGAGTCAATGCAATGGATTCAAAAGGGAAAACGCCGCCGCGGAAATTCAAAGTGGAGCGATCGACACCCAAGCTCATAGCCACTATATTTGGGATTGTGGAGGAATTTTATTCATTGACTACCAATTTTAAAAAAACTACAATAAACGGGGATT